TGACAGTGAAACACATTCTGATTGAGTGCAGGCATCTCAAACCTTTGAGATCCTAGCACTACCGTGCTGGATCTTTACATCAACTATTTGCGCAACCTTCTCTTTATGACAAGGTTGTGGCTTTTTCAAAAAAAAGCCGGTCTTTATTTTAAATTTTAAATAGATTAGTCATTGTTTGTTTTAAATATTTTGTTTTTAATACCACCATGTGGTGTATTATGTGATATTGTTTTTAGTGTTTTTTTTGTAGTCATTAAATGACTTTTTCTGTGATATGGTTTTTATCGTTTATTTTTGTTTTTTTTGTGTCACTATGTGACCTTTCTGTGATATTGATAGGTGTTTTATTGTTTTAGATTTTTTCATTATTTAAAACGTATTCTGGAGCTATATAGCCCGCTTGGTGCTGATGCTCATTATTGCATTTCATTTCATGTATGAATAATATATCCAGTAAGGATTATATCCACGTCTATGGATTCATTTGAAACTTCAAAGTACAAAATAAAAGAAATTTTTGCTATACCAACGGACAAATGATGATAAATATCATTAATTCAGTCTGCTTACTATATATTATACTGGTCTGGCAAATAACACTGGTGGTACAAAATACATTTTTAGTCACATATTTTAAATATACTTTTTATTGGCCCGCATTAAAGGGGGCGTATATTGGCGCCACCCATGTCCGTCCGTTCACTATTGTTTGTAAATACTAAATTTGGCGAAACTTGGTTTGAGTGTTTGTGTTTCACCCAAGGTGGAACCTTATTGAAAATCAAATAATATAAATATTAAGTATGAGTTTTTGCCCTTGTTCTTGAAACGGTGTTCAATTTTTAACTCGTTAACGCATATGAAGGCAAAATTATTCACATATTTTTATATATTAACGTAGACGTCTGACACTCCTTCCTGTTCTTTTGATAGCAAATTAAATTTACCAAAATATTTTTATGTGTGGGGAATTGGTCATATTCATAAATAGTAATTTCTCAATGTTTTTTTTATCAACTGAAGAGTCTTGGTAGGTCAACCATTTTCGAGTTGAAATTCCCATACATAACAAATAATCACAGGATATTGATATGACAGCGTAATTTGATATAAATTTGCTATAGTAAAAGCATTTCTTTTGTTTAATACCGGTACATTAAAATTGATCCAATCCTTAAAATTAAGCGAGTGGGAATATAGTCAGCTAACTGATTATGTGTTTTGGGTTCGAATCCTCAGTGTAAGAAAATTTCTAGAGCCAGTGCTTAGAATTGTCCAGGTGTAGGGCTCTCAGCTCCTAACAAAAACCCTAAATGCAGCTGCATTCTATACAACATAATGCAGGAAGCTACGGCAGGACTTTTGATCAGACACGCTTCTTTAAGTTTTGCCAGGCGGTATGAATCGCAATTTTTTTCAATTAAAAATCATAAAAAGATTTTCATGCAGACAGTTTATTTTTCTCTTCAATTTTTAGGGATATCTGGCTTCTTCGAAGGATAAACTTCCATCATCTAAAAAAAAAAAAAAATTAATGAAATTTCAAAATTTGATTATAAAAAATTGGTCCTAATCCTTAACAACGAAATACAAAACTAGAGATCATATATAATATATAGGTGTATATTATTGTAGACAAACTACATATATGTATTAGACTTTCATTCTAAAGACTGATATACTGTACGTTAATGTATACTTACAATTTTTATCTATTGTATGAAATGCATTCCAGAAATTTGACACATCTCCATTGGATTGGAAATATGACCAAGGTATGATACTGTTGGATAATTCTGACTGAGACAATGTATTATCAGCTGAAATGAAAAATAATATATGACATAACATTCAGGTTTATTGAATTACATTCAAGTGTATGACATTACACTCTGATATATGACAGACATATTTTATTCAGGTGTATGACATTACATTCTGCCATGTGATCTTGCACCTACCCATTACTTATGGGTATGAAATATGCAGATGTAGATATTATATTTAAGTATTTAGCAATACGTACAATTGTATTTCATTAACTCTGTTTTAAACTCGTTGAGATCTAATTTTCCATCTGAATTTTTGTCAGCAACTGTATAAGATATTTTACTTACTCTTCCAGTTCCGAACCTAAAAAATTTAAGAATATTCGCAATGAATCAACTAGATAACGCTTTTCCTCCATGATCTGAAACGTTTTTCCTGTTAATCGTGATCAGGTATATTATTTTTATTAAACAGATAGTTGATTAGTTTAATATGAATTGATCCAGTACAACCTTGATAATTGACATCTTTGGATGGTATTAGGTCATAATTCCACATAATAGGATTGAATTAAAACGCTGATCAGATCATGAATGACAAGTTCAGTAACCTACAGAAAAAACAGGAACCAAATATTCAGATCTGCATTTTAACAACAACAAAAAATTCTGAAATTAAAACTGATCATAAATCAAGATATAATTTTTTGCTACAACCTTTTTGTGAAATCTGAGAAAAATAACTTACAGATTTGGAGAAGCTGAACTGAATGCTGAAATAAAGTCAAATAATTTGGAAATGAATATGTTATATTACTTGTGACTTAACTTATATATATATTTAGAATATGGCATAAAACTATTAAACAAAATAGAAAAAAATCAGAAAAATACCGAACAAACTCACCAAAAAGCAAACATAGTACAAGGTTTGTAATCAACATAGTTTTCAGTTAATGTAACTAGTGAATTGAGAAATTTGTTGTGAACAGTTAATTTATATTGTTACAGACACAGTATCAGCTTGTCATTTTTTATACTCTGCTCACATCTGTCAGTTAATTAGTTAAAGGGCTAATCCCTATTTTGTTATGGGTGAGTCAGGATAAGTCTGATTTTCGATTTTTAAATGTAAGACAAAAATTAATTGAAAGAAGCTACCCCTCTGCTATACAGATAGCTGAAATTGAGCATTAAGCGATGGTGAACGTAATATTTAGCTATACGGATAACTGGAAACTGATGTAAACATAAAGACAATAAGATAACTAAAATGAAGCTTTATAAGGTGATAAAGTAAAGATAGAGACTATACATATAGTTGAAATTGAGCTCTATTTGATGGTAAAGCCAATGTTTAGTCAACTGCATCCCTTTAAGAATATTTAGAGGGTTACTGTGAGTCAAATGTTAAAGGCTTTCAGATTCAAACAGGATACAAAGGAAATCTAGTGCAGTAAACAAATTCTGGTCGAAGAGCTCATTTATTTGTTTGTTGCGTGACAATGAAATGAATTAGAAAGTGTGAAAGTCTGGTTACCTTGAATGAGACCTCTTTACTCATTTATCCAGTCGGCCCAGATAGCTTTCACAGCCAAAATCGTGTTAGATGCCTTCAGTTTGTATTTATCTAATGACATCGGCTTTAACCAATCAAATTTCTTCACTCTCCCACACGCTGTAGATGGCAGAAATTTTATTGGTTAAAGCAGTTTTAGTTCTAGATATTATTTTGACGAATGATAGAGAGGCCACTCTTTAGACCTTAGCTGAAGTGGCTATATTGAAAATTTCCCCTAACACAATATCGGAACGAACCAAAGCTTGAAAAAACCGGAACAGGTCCTTTCGGCCAGCTTCACAGTCAGTGTCGGATAACACTCTCAGTATGTTGAGGGCTTACATTTGGTTTTGATTATTTTGATGTGTGGACGAAAGTAAAGCTTAATTAAATTATTAAATTAAATTAATGTACAACTTGAATTACAGCATAGGCCAAGCGTAGCACTTGATCAAGATGCAAACCTCTTCTTCTACAGAAATGCATGCAGACGATTTTGGATTTCGAAAAATCAAATGTTTCGTAAGCAAAGCTGCAACTGACGCTCGATCGTCTGCCTGTTTGTAGAATCCTACCATATACAGAGAGCCGTCTAAGGCACGACGTAATGGAATTTATTTTTATGGAAAACAGGGTAACGGATAATATGCTACCCTGTGGAATTCGATTATTCTGAGGAAAAGGACCTGAAAAAATTGAGCCAGGTCGTACCTTAAATGGGTATTCGGCTTAAAAGTTTATACCTGAAAATATTTCTAAAGCGTGCTATTGATATCTATATATCTTCTTGATCAAACTGGATTTATTTTAAACGGGTTAATTAAAAACGGATAGCACTAATTGTCATTTTATCAGTTTGATCTAGTTTTGGTATTTGACGTTATAATGGCTCGATAAATTGGAAAAGAGACACATTTCTCTACAATTAAACGTTTATCTTACTCAAATCCGTACAATAGTTTTATAACAGCTTCCACAAAGCATAGCGAACTTATACGAAATATTTTTGGCGTTTAAAAATTAACGGCTGAGTAGTATAAGTACAAGTCTATAGCACACAAAAACAATAAAAATAAAATTCCTCTCATCTTACCCCCATAACCCTATCTGTTTTACCTAAATATTTAATGATTTCAACTACTTTTTTTCATAAATTACTAATATATTTCTACAAGTAAAAATATATCTGTAAGTAAAACAAAAAATCCACTTCTAAAAATGACTATAATTCTCGATTACGAAGAATAAGCAACAACTAAAATAATTAACCTTTCTACCCAAAAAGTTATAAGAGCATTAGAGTTAAATGAGTATACGGAGAAAGAAAGCAATATTCCCCTTAACACAGAACCTATTAATGGAATAAGATTTAAAGTTAATATTCGTAATCCTTCTGAGGAAGAAGAATCATTGTCGTTAATGCAATTTAATTTACTTATGCATAGAACTATACCAAAAAATATACTTGAACCCATAAATCCAATTGGTAATTTTACTTTATCGTTAGTAGTATAAGTACAAGTCCATAGCACACAAAAACAATAAAAATAAAATTCCTCTCATCTTACCCCCATAACCCTATCTGTTTTACCTAAATATTTAATGATTTCAACTACTTTTTTTCATAAATTTCATGATCTGATCAGCGTCTTAATTCAATCCTATTATGTGGAATTATGACCTAATACCATCCAAAGATGTCAATTATCAAGGTTGTACTGGATCAATTCTTATTTAACTAATCAACTATCTGTTTAATAAAAATAATATACCTGATCACGATTCATAGGAAAAACGTTTCAGATCATGGAGGATAAGCGTTATCTAGTTGATTCATTGCGAATATTCTTAAATTTTTTAAGTTCGGAACTGGAAGAGTAGGTAAAATATCTTATACAGTTGCTGACAGAAATTCAGATGGAAAATTAGATGTCAACGAGTTTAAAACAGAGTTAATGAAATACAATTGTACGTATTGCCATATACTTAAATATAAAATCTACATCTGCATATTTCATACCCATAAGCAATGGGTAGGTGCAAGATCACATGGCAGAATGCAATGTCATACACCTGAATAAATTGTCATATACCTATGGAATGGACCTGAATGTGATGTCATATACTTAAATAAAATATGTCTGTCATATATCAGAGTGTAATGTCATACACTTGAATGTAACTCAATAAACCTGAATGTTATGTCATATATTATTTTTCATTTCAGCTGATAATACATTGTCTCAGTCAGAATTATCCAACAGTATCATACCTTGGTCATATTTCCAATCCAATGGAGATGTCTCAAATTTCCGGTATGCATTTCATAGAATAGATAAAAATTGTAAGTATACATTAACGTACAGTATATCAGTCTTTAGAATGAAAGTCTAATACATGTATGTAGTTTGTCTACAATAATATACACCTATATATTATATATGATCTCTAGTTTTGTATTTCGTTGTTAAGGATTAGGACCAATTTTTTATAATCAAATTTTGAAATTTCATTAATTTCTTTTTTTTTTTAGATGATGGAAGTTTATCTTTCGAAGAAGCCAGAAATCCCTAAAAATTGAAGTAAAAAATAAACTGTCTGCATGAAAATCTTTTTATGATTTTTAATTGAAAAAAATTGCGATTCATACCGCCTGGCAAAACTTAAAGAAGCGTGTCTGATCAAAAGTCCTGCCGTAGCTTCAGAGTGGGGCCCCAAGCTTACTGCTGCTGTGATAATAGACGTTTCCTAATAGCTTAAGGTAGACATTGCCATATCCTGCATTATATTGAATAGAATGCAGCTGCATTTAGGGTTTTTGTTAGGAGCTGAGAGCCCTACACCTGGACAATTCTAAGCACTGGCTCTAGACATTTTCTTACACTGAGGAGGATTCGAACCCAAAACACATAATCAGTTAGCTGACTATATTCCCATTCGCTTAATTTTAAGGATTGGGTCAATTTTTAATGTACCGGTATTAAACAAAAGAAATGCTTTTACTATAGCAAATTTATATCAAATTACGCTGTCATATCAATATCCTGTGATTATTTGTTATGTATGGGAATTTCAACTCGAAAATGGTAGATCTACCAAGACTCTTCAGTTGATAAAAAAAACATTGAAAAATTACTATTTATGAATATGACCAATTCCCCACATAAAAATATTTTGGTAAATTTAATTTGCTATCAAAAGAACAGGAAGGAGTGTCAGACGTCTACGTTAATATATAAAAATATGTGAATAATTTTGCCTTCATATGTGTTAACGAGTTAAAAATTGAACACGGTTTCAAGAACAAGGGCAAAAACTCATACTTTATATTTATATTATTTGATTTTCAATAAGGTTCCTTGGGTGAAACACAAACACTCAAACCAAGTTTCGCCAAATTCAGTATTTAAAAACAATAGTGAACGAACGGACGGACATGGGTGACGCCAATATACGCCCCCTTTAATGCAGGCCAATAAAAAGTATATTTAAATATGTGACTAAAAGTGTATTTTGTACCACCAGTGTTATTTCCCAGACCAGTATAATATATAGTAAGCAGACTGAATTAATGATATTTATCATCATTTGTCCGTTGGTATAGCAAAAATTTCTTTTATTTTGTCCTTTGAAGTTTCAAATGAATCCATAGACGTGGATATAATCCTTACTGGATATATTATTCATGAATGAAGAAATGCAAAAAGTGTCAAATATGGAATGGTCATCCATTGGCCCAATCTGTTATTAGCCCCATGATATAGCACCAGAAATTCTTAACGTCAACTGGTTACCTTTATAACCGTAAAACCTGTCTCTGACGTATTTTATCACTTTTCACGAAAGTAAAATCCAATCTGACCTAACAAGTTTCTGATTCAGTTGTAAATGTGAATGAATTTGATAAAATTCAGGTACGTAGTGGGGATCAGTTCAGTCCTATCAACACAATAATGAACCAATTACTTTGACCTATTTTCCCGTGACTACATTACTGTCTCCAAACAATAATGGTGTAATTAAATTAGCTTGTGACCAAATCACTGAACAGTATTTCTTCTGTTAATATTATTGTGACTAATTAACCCTCTTACCAACTTGCCTTGTGACTAATAAATTGTCTATGACAATTTTGTCCCGTGATGAAATTATCGCGTCTTTTTGGAGTTTATTAATCTGATTGTTTACCAGACCAGTATAATATATACAAATAGCAAACAGAATCAATGATACTTATCACAATCTAATCTAATTAATCTGATTAATCCAATCTAATCTGGTGTGGCGTATATTTTCTTTTTTTTTGTCCTTTAGAGTTCCCCCAGACACAATACATTGATAAAAACATTGAACATAATGACACTATTGAGAAACTGAAAAAAATTAATACGTATCTATTTAATTCTCGATTTACGAGACGTGTTTTGTTAAACAAATTAGACCGTCCATTGACTCAATCTAACATTAGCGCACCCAAGGCGACTGAATTGCGGCTCCTTGTTTGCGACCCGTGTCGGGTTTTGAAATGGTGGTTGAGGGTAACATACTTCCCAATAGATCACTTTGGGTCAATGTATTTCAAGACGGGTGGCCTGTATGTGACGGTTGGTCAGAACAGAATAACCTTATTCTAAGCACAATTTATACCCTTTTACTTCAATTTATTGGACAGTTAGTGAGCTACCAGGAATCATTTCAAAAATGTTTTAATTGACCAGACGAGGTCCCGTTCAATACTGCATTTCAAACATCAATCAAGTACAATGTTATCGACAGAACTTACTCGTGATAATGTGAAGTGCTCTCTCAATTCAAAATAAATTCTTCTCCTACACCAATAGCTGAGGCGTATAATCCATTGGCGTCAAAAGCCATTAATTTAGAAACGTTCTTTAGGTTCTTTAAATTATCGTGTAATAACTTTTTATCAGTTTCTTTACCGTTCATGTATAATCCATTGGCGTCAAAAGCCATTAATTCAGAAACGTTCTTTAGGTTCTTCAAATTATCGTGTAATAACTTTTTATCAGTTTCTTTACCGTTCATGTAAATATCCCAAAGTTCAAACATTTCATCGGTCTCAACTTGATAATGATCCTTAATCAGTTTAAATATTTGAGATAATTTATTGCTCTTAAACCCTTGAATGTTCGCTGATACTTTTCCTCCTTTAACGGATTTTCTTATGAAACTCCTAATGAAGGGGTCTACATGAACATAAACACTCGGTCCCTTATAGAGATAATCCCAACCTTTTAGAGCTAAAGATGGAGCGGTTAACGCCGACATTGTTGTTTGATTGATTGAACATTTCTTTCATTATTTTATTAAACTTTATAACACATGCTCCTAAACAAATTGCATCTCTTTTACAATATTTTTCCCATTCTTGTTGTCTTTCATAGTAAACTAAAAACAATCAGTACATAACAGATACTATACTTCTCGCCCATCGGGCGAGTTATTTTTTCTAATTTCAGATCAGAATAAGAACAGAAGAAAACCCAATATCAAGACCCTTAATCCTAATTTCTAAATAAAGTGTCTGCTCCACCCTAGGCCTGTACATTTGGGAGAATCAAACCCTTCCTCTCCCCGAAATTTAAAAGATGTAACAACCCACTTCAAGAGTTTTTTAGTATCCCAATTATTTATTGGAATAGGTGGAGTTGAATATACTTTATCCAGTTTATTCTTATGTACATCTACGTAATGATGATATTCATCTGAAATGAAACATACTCTTATGAAATTAAAATTAGATGTTTTACTTACAGATATATTTTTTATTGATCTTGAGATTAGTAATTTATGAAAAAAAGTAGTTGAAATCATTAAATATTTAGGTAAAAAAGAGAGGAATTTTATTTTTGTTGTTTTTGTGTGCTATGGACTTGTACTTATTCTACTAACGATAAAGTAAAATTACCAATTGGATTTATGGGTTCAAGTATATTTTTTGCATAGTTCTATGCATAAGTAAATTAAATTGCATTAACGACAATGATTCTTCTTCCTCAGAAGGATTACGAATATTAACTTTAAATCTTATTCCATTAATAGGTTCTGTGTTAAGGGGAATATTGCTTTCTTTCTCCGTATACTCATTTAACTCTAATGCTCTTATAACTTTTTGGGTAGAAAGGTTAATTATTTTAGTTGTTGCTTATTCTTCGTAATCGAGAATTATAGTCATTTTTAGAAGTGGATTTTTTGTTTTACTTACAGATATATTTTTTACTTGTAGAAATATATTAGTAATTTATGAAAAAAAGTAGATGAAATCATTAAATATTTAGGTAAAACAGATAGGGTTATGGGGGTAAGATGAGAGGAATTTTATTTTTATTGTTTTTGTGTGCTATGGACTTGTACTTATACTACTCGGCTGGATTCATTTAGTTAACACTTTCAGATACGTTGAAGGTGCTAAATAGGCTTTCTATTGATCATTCGTTCCATGGTTATTCAAATGCAGATCGTCAATGTAATAGGGCGATAATTAGTAGGATTCGTAGGATCTTGACAAGGTTTTGGAATGGGTTCCATGGTAAATGCATTCCTCGAAGATGGAAGAAATACACTGTCATCCCAAATTTCACAACCTAAAGGAAGATGTTTCAGGAGCTGATAATGGATATCATCAGGGCCAAGATACAGATACTGAGAGAGAAAACTTCAATTCAGATATATAATTTTTCATTATAATATTCCTTGTTTTTCCATGTAAAATTTAACCGTTTCTTCTCTTCACGGAGTTTGACTCTCAGAAAAGATAAGAAGTTATAATTAAATCAAATGAAGTGTATTAAGGTGCACGAACACAAAAGCGGGCTATATAGCACCTGAATACGATAAAAAAAAAAGATAACAAAAAATGGTCAAAACACAACAGATATATTGAACGATGCTAGAAATTATGAACATCACAGAAACCATAAAGTGGTGATATAAACAATAATAAGAACAATATCACAGAAGAATACCAGAAAATGGTATTAAAAACAGAAATAAAAAAAAATATAACACAAAATTAAAAAAACCAAGATAGGTAAATGTACTGTTTCAAACATGCGACAATTTTCTCATAAAGAGACGGTTGCCCAAAAAACTAAAACAAAGATCCGTCACGGTAGTGCTGTGGTCTTCAAGGTTTGAGATGCATGCACTCTATCAGAACGTGTTTCATTGTCATGCGAACTTGGCAGTGTTCACAGACTCGTTGGTAAGGTGAGTATGACCAAGACGAGAGCGACACAAGGAATCGGCAGTATCTGAAAGGTTGGTGAGAGTTAGACTGATGTTTTTTAAATTACCTTTAATATTTGTTTTTTTTTTAACTCAGCACTTTGGAAATGGCATGATGATTTACATGTCAATTACAATTGCTTCGGTGCACTCATTTGCAGACTGACCACGACGCGCACATCGAATATAACTTTCAAGTGCGAGTTTCATGCCCGAAGCATTGACACTTGTAACAGGTGAAACTTCAGTTTATGATGCTTAGATACTTCATCAGGTAATCAGGGTGGATGAATAACAGAATGAATTAACAGTTGGAATTAAGTGGATGGATCAACGTTCGGGTGTCCTACGACCACTTTGAAAGAGTTAGGAGAGGAATGAGGTGAAACTTTGATGGGGATGTTAGCTAATGTAGATGATATAAATACCATTTCAGAATGAAACTTTTTGTAGATATTGGTTCACTGCATGCCCAGTCAAACCTTTTGCATTTGCAAATGAGGACAAGGATGATAAAGATCTCTCAGGGTGAAATGAATGGAAGGAAAAGGATATAAACTGTGCCAAGAATACCTTTTATTCTGTTCTGACCACCGGCTCATACTGGCCACCCGTCTAGGAATCCCAAAATGATGTATTTTGAAGTACGTTACCCTCAACCACCGAGAGTCAATTCAAAACGGTGGGGTTGGGGCGCCAATGATAGATTGGGTTAATGGACGGCCTTCCATATTTGACGCAGTATATTGACGCAACTAATTTGTTTAATGTAAGATTTCTCGTAAATCGTGTAATACAAAAATACGTATTTAATCTTTGGACTAGATGCATTATCTTCAATATGTATTCACCGATGCATTGTGTCTGGGGGAATTTCAAAGCAAAAAGAATATATACGCTTAACCAGCCGACCTAATAGATTATATTTGATAAATATCATTAATTCTATTTGCTTACTGTATATATTATAATGGTCTGGTAAACAATCAGATTAATAAATTCCAGAAAGGACGCGATAATTTCATCACGGGACAAATTTGTCACAGACAATTTATTAGTCACAATAATATTAACAGAAGAAATACACCGTTGTTCGGAGGCGGTAATCTTGTCACGGAAAATAAGTCAAAGTAATTGATTCATTATGGTGTTGATAGGAGTGAAGTGATCCCCACTACGTACCTGAATTTTACTGAATTCATCCACACTGACAACTGAAACAGAAAAAGTGTTCGGTCAGATTGGATTTTACTTTCGAGAAAAATGATAAAATGCCACAGAGACAGGTTTACGGTTATGGTAACCAATTGACGTTAATATCAGATTGGGACAATGTCCATATTTGACACTTTTCGCATTCCTTAATACATGAAAAATATATCCAGCAGGGATTAATCCACGTCTATGAATTTATTTGAAACTTCAAAGGACAAAATAAAAAGAAATTATTTGCTATACCAACCGACCTGACAGATGGATTAATTCTGTCTGCTAACTGTATATAAATTGACAGGCAAAAGAAAGTTTCCACTTTAAAAATCGTTGTATAAAAAGCAAAAAAGCTGGTACAGGCTTGAACCCGAGCAGCAAACAAATGCCTAAATGCAACGTAATCATTACCACAACGCAGATTATCGAACGCAGCTTTCGAGATTGTGCATGCATAAGAAGGTGCAAAACGCGATTTTGCGATATTGATCCAAATACACATGCACGATTTCGGCATAAATACCGAAGTTTGACAGAACAGGCATTCAGTAAAGGAAAAAAACCACCAAAAGTATGCCAAGACTTACGCAAGCGCATCGGTATGGCCAATATGGGGGCTTCTTAACGACAGATAGCTAAAACCTTCAACTGCCCCCAGACCATCATCAGCAATTTGATAATAAGGCCCCAACAGACAGGACAGACCCAAGACCGACCAAGATCGTGAAGACCGAAGGTGACAACACCGGTCGACTACCGCTACAACCGCTACATGAGGATTCATCTTCGAAACAGATGGGTGACGGCCGCTTCACTAGGTCATATCATCAGCAGACGAAGAATCCTTCGAAGACTTCGTTCAGTTGCCTACCGATCCTTCCGTAGAATGGCGTTGACCGTCTACATCGTCAACGCAGACTGCAGTGGGCACGAACTGTACGCAGGGACGTGACCGGATGAGGGTGCTCTTTACGGATGAAAGTCGGTTCTGTCTGTTCGGGAACGATGGCAGGATTCAAGTTGTTCGACGAAGGGAAAGGCGACTGGTGCCAAACTGCATCACAGAAGTTCAACCGTTTGGAGGTGGAGGCCAGATTACAACACGGCTGGTTATCATTCGAGGGAATCTGAATGCTCAGCGATATATTGATGAATTGTTGAGACCTGTTGAGGTGCCTTTTATTCAACAACGGCCAAGAGGATTAATTTTACAACAAGACAACGCAAGGCCTCATACTGTCCGAATTGTTCAAGACTAAATGAACAATACCAACGTCGAAGTATTGGCCTGACCACCTTGCTCTCCAGACATGAACCCCATTGGACATCTCTGGGATCATCTAGGTCGCCAGCTGCGACAAATATACCTCCTCCAGTGAACCGACAGGAACAGGAACAGACTCTATTGAACTTATGGAACAGGATTCCTGTTGACGTTATTCGCCGCCTGACGACGTCAATGAGGAGGCGTGTGTTTGTGTGCGTGTTTGCCCAGGGTGGCCACACTCGTTATTGATGATGTTTTGCCTGACGGAATAAACTCTTTATGCACTTTGCAATGAACTCTGGTTTGTGTAATTTTTAATTTTGACCCCTTGACTCTTCCTTTGTGTATTGTGGAGAATTGAATATCGGTATTACAATGCATCACGTCACTCATGTCCGTCCACAATTGCTGGTAAACACTCTAGAAGGCACAATTCTTGACCCAAGAATGAACATGAATGAAAAAATTAGAAATGTTAAGTATCAGTATCTTCTTATCAGCTTAATATCTGATACTTCGATATTAAACTGATTTTTGTAACTAGATGAGGTGCATTCCTCCTTCT